CATCAAGGTAGAAAGGTGTGGGCAATATAAAACTTACGCTTAAAAAGCGTATAAAGCACATTTAATTTTGAAGTGCATTGTGCCCACTTCCTGATTTGGCCCCTTGCCCATCTTGCCCTTGTCCTTGGGGGGTGCCCTCCACATTATGTCACCAGGAGAACTTTAGAAGATACTGATGTCCAGGCCCCATCCCAGGCCAATTAAGTCATAGTTTCTGGGAAAGGAACCTTGACCAGGGCATTGTTTAAAAACTCCCCTTGTGATATAGGAGTGGTGATGCATAGGGGCACATGGATCCCAGTGTTCACAGCAGCACTCTCAACAATAGCCAAACCATGGTAAGAGCCTAAGTGTCCATCAACTGACGAATGGATCAAGAAGATGTGGTTTATCTATACCATGGAATACTACATGGCAATGAGAAAGAATGAAATCTGGCCATGGGTAGCAACATGGATGGACCTTGAGGGTCCTGAGTGAAATAAGTCAGGCAGAGAAGGACAGATACCATATGTTTGCACGTAAAGGAGGATTAGGAGGAACTTAACGGAGGACCATGGGGGAGAAGAAGGGGGGGAAGTAGCGGGGGAGAGGGAGAGAGGCAAACCATGAGAGATTCTTGAATGCTGAGAACAAACTGAGGACTGGTGGATGTGGGGGAGAGGGGGGAGACGGGCATGGCGGAGGGCACTTGTGGGGATGAGCACCGGGTGTTATATGGAAACCAATTTAACAATAAACTATTTGTAAAAAAAAAAAGAAAAGAAAAAACAAAACAAGAAAAAAACCTCCCCTTGTGATCCTAATATGCATTCAGGGATGAGTGGGGGCGATTGTCCTAGAAGGTTTAATGGGTCAGGGGCTGGCTATGTAGTTAGACCTGGATTCAAATCCTGGTTCTGGCATTTGCTGGCTGTGTGACCTTTGGCCTCTCTGAGCTTTGGTTTCTTTGTCTGAAAAATGGGGATGATAGTGCCTGTTCTGCAAAGTTGTCATGAGGATTAAGTGAGATAATGCAGGGAAGCAGTTAGCCTTATGTTTGGGAGTACTTTAACTTGCTGCTTAGGGAGGGCTCAGTAAATAGGAAATGTTATTGTTACTGTAATTATTACGTTTAACTCGAGTGAGTTTCCATGCGTGGGAGCAGGGATCACTGAAGAGAACCAGGGGACCAGGGCCAGCTGTCCTGGAGCTCAGCCTTAGCTCATGCACATAAACCCGTGTTAGACGTTTCTCAGACTCAGACTCCACCACTCTGGGGACCCACGGAGGATGCTAGTGGAATATTTTTTAACTTTGTTCCCCTAGCAGTGCCAACAAGATGCTGGCATTTGGGGCCAGACAATTCCACGCTCAAGGGGGATTTAAGAGAAAGAAATGTTTTAAATGTTTATTTATTTTTGAGAGAGAAAGAGAGAGCGCGAGCAGGGGAGGAGCAGAGAGAGAGGAAGACAGAGGATCCAAAGTGGGCTCTGCAGCGTCAGCAGAGAGCCCAATGGTTAAGCCTCCAGGGCGGCTCATTCGGTTAAGCGTCCGACTTTGGCTCAGGTCATGATCTCATGGTCTTGTGGGTTCGAGTCCCGCGTGGGGCTCTGTGCTGACAGCTCAGAGCCTGGAGCCTGCTTCGGATTCTGTGTCCCCCAATCTCTCTGCCCTTCCCCCACTACACTCTGTGTCTCTCCATCTCTCAAAAATAAATAAACGTTAAAAATTTTTCTAAAAATTTTAATTGAAGTACAATGAACATACTGGGATGAGGGTTATCTTAGTTTCAGGTGTACAATGTAATGATTCGACAAGGCGGGTGTATATATTTTATAATTGCTAACCCACGCTCTGGACTCATTTAAGATAAATTCTGCTTGAGTAGGAAGTCTGTGGGCCTGGCTGGAATATGTAATTGTGTCTTTCTGGTTGAGCCAGAAGCCGTGGGACAGCCAGCCTTGGCGGGCCGGTCTTGAGGACACAGAGTGGGGGGCCACTCCTCAAGTGGCCATACAGACAGGCTCTCTAAGCCATCCTCCTCTGAACCCCTGAGTCTTCACCTGGGGACTGTCCACTCCGTTGACACACACTGGTTGTCACTGGCTGGGTTTCTCCTGTGTCCTCCAGCTCTGAACCCTCTGCTGAAATAAGACAAACATATTGAAACATTTTTTTCTCTGAAAAACGAATTGGGAAAACCGACTGCCTGAGAAAGAGCAACGGAAACAGGCAGTGGCCAGCAAGCAGAGCCCCAGGTGGTGAAGATCAATTAGCAAATGTATTAATTAGGAGCCAGTGTATTCTTCTGGAAACCCGCTGGGGGCGGAGACCAAACCCTGGTGCCCATCTCGCCGCAGGGCAGGCGCTGTGCGCCCCGCTTTCCTGGTTGACCTGCACGATTCTGGGCTTCTTTCTTCAAACTGGATGCTTCGCTTTTCCTTAGCATCTGGCCTCAAAGGCTAAGCGAGTCTGGTGGAGTTTTGTGCAGCGTGGATATGCAGGGAAGCAGACTCTACATTTCACCCGCTGATCCCCCCAACTTCCATGCAAATGGGTGGAATTATCTGCAGAGTCCTAGCACGTGCAGTCGGGGGTGGGGATGGGGGACGCCTCTGCCCCGCTCTTTGGCCTTGAACTGCCGCTTGAGTTATGCATCCCAGAGCCACGTGGGAGTGCGTCTCAGGCTTTTGTTGCCAATTGCGGATCCTCTGATCTGTGTGCGTGAAAACTTGAGAGTGGGCTGTGTACGTGTTTGCAGGAGAGGAGGTCCCGGATGGGAAGAATGCATCTGAGACCTCTCGGGGCAGGTCAGAGAGCTTCCCATCAGCCCACCGACCTCCGCTCGGTATTCGAGAGTCCCACACCCCTGAACATAAACAGTCCATAGACGTGCGTTGTTTTGTGTTTTGTTTCTTACTTCAACACTTGGGGGACTCCGAAGCCGGTTGTGAGAAAATCCCAGGAATGCAGAGCATTTCCGGTGTGGTGTGCTGGGCCAGGGACATCAAAGGCTCTGTTTGCGGCAGAGCCTCAGTCTGGTAGCCCCCTCCGCCCATCAGCCCCGCTCGCACATTCACGCCAGCCAAACATGGGGAGGGTTGCATGACCGCGGTATGCGTGAGCCACATACGGCGTCTGCCTTGGAAGGGGCTTTCTACACGCTAACTTGGTGGAATCGTTGGCTCGCTGGGATGAGGGTGGGGTGTGTGTGGGAGTGGTGGGGATGGTCATGGATAATTCAATGCTCCATGCATTCAGGATGTTTCCATAAAACATGACCTCATCTCTTCCAGCCCGCTGGTCATCATTCTACTTACTGGTGGTCACTTTTGACTTCGTGGTAACGCACATAATTCCTTGAATTACCAAAGTGGAAATTCATAGATTGCACAGGGATTCTTCTTACCCCACCCGTCCCCCTGTCCGCCCCCCAAGAGGCAAGAGGTCAGAGCTATTACTAATGCTGTCTCCACAGCAAGAGAATGACTCATTAACTCAAGGAAAAACAAGGCAAACCAAAACACAACAATAAAAATCCTTTGCCAGGTCGGTTGTTGGGCGTCGAGCAGATCAAATAGCTGGGAGAGTTTCTGCCTTTCTCTCTTTCCAAATAATTGTCTTATTTTTTAAAAGGTTTATTTATTTTGAGAGAGAGAATGAGCAGGGTAGAGGGGCAGAGGAAGAGAGAGTGAGAGAGCGAGAGTGAGAGAGAGCAAGAGCGAGCACGCATGCATGCACACGCAAGAGAAAGAGAGAGAGAGAGAGAGAGAGAGAGAGAGAGAATTCCAAGCAGGCTCCACACTCAGTGTGACTCATGTGGGGCTCCATCCCACAAACCGTGAGATCACGACCTGAGCCGAAACCAAGAGTCAGACACTTAACCGACTGAGCCACCCGGGCACCCCGAATGATCGTGTTTTTAAATCCTAAACAGTTACATTATGATCAGTAGGAAGACAAAGTCATTTTATTTTTAATGTTTTTATTTATTTCTAGGAGAGAGAGAGAGAGAGAGAGAGACAGCGTGAGCAGGGGAGGGTCAGAGAGAGAGGGTGTCACAGACTGAAACAGGCTCCAGGTTCTGAACTGGCAGTCAGCACAGAGCCCGACGCGGGGCTCGAACCCACGAACCGCGAGATCATGACCTAAGTGAAAGTCGGACGCTTAACCGACTAAGCCACCCAGGCGCCCCAGACAAAGTCATTTTTATTGAACCTGTTTGTTAAACACCTCCTATGTCTTCAGTGCACAAGACTGACAGGGTCTCATGGAGTGGAAATACACGCTCAGCGAGTCAGTGCACAGACCAGACAGCCTGGAAACATTAAAAGTGTTGTGAAGGGGCTCCTGGGTGGCTCAGTCGGTTACACTTCCGACTTCGGCTCAGGTCACGATCTCACGGTTTGTGGGATGGAGCCCGGCGTCAGGCTCTGTGCTGTCGGTGGGGAGCCTGCTTGGGATTCTCTGTCCCCCTCTCTCTGTCTCTTCCTCCCTTATGCACATGTGCTCTTTCTCTCTCTCTCAAAAATAAATAAACATTAAAAAGATAGAAGCGTGATGAAGAAAATGAAGCAACGTGGCTCCGCAGAAAATGACAGAAGCAGCTATTTACGTATGTTGAATCTGGTAAAATAAAATCAGGGAATGCAAGGTGTTGGCTAGAGGAATAACAATAGCTGGTTATAAAGGAAGTCATTCCTGGGTGCTTGGGTGGCTCAGTAGGTTGAGCGTCAGACTCTTGTTTTCAGCTCAGGTCATGATCTCACGGTTCGTGGGATGGAGCCCCTCATCGGGCTCTGCGCTGTCGGTGGGGAGCCTGCTTGAGATTCTCTCTCTCCCTCTCTCTCTCTGCCCCTCCCCTGCTCACTGTCTCTCTCAAAAATAAATAAACTTAAAAAATAAGTAAATTACAAAAAAGAAAAAAGTCATACCTTTGCTGGAGTGATCAGAATCTCTCAGTGCTTTTGGAACAGGACCTTGGTCACAGAAAACCAACTCCCTGCCTCGTCTCACAGGGGGAAGCGCAGCCAAGCAGACGACCTGGGAAGGTGGGCACCGCGTCCCCGCCCTGGCTTACTGGCCTGGCACAGTCCCCGCCAATGTCACCAGCACTGCCTTGTTAAGGTATGAGATGCCAGCTGCCTTGAAATGTTGGGATTTGTAGCAAGAACATCACGGACCGAGGCTTTGGAGGAGAGGGGTCCCGTTGGCCACCTGCCCTGGCCAGGTATCCCCAGATGCTTCCAAAAGCTCTGACTGTAGCCACATGGATCCCCTGCAGGCAACCCCACCTGCTTAGGTAGGGCCAACAGTGGCTCTCTGCAAGCCTTCCCCTGGGCATGGTGTTGGCTTCAAGAGGCGGCTGGGTGGGTTCCGCGGCCTTTGAGTCATGGCCGGTGTCTGCTGACGCCACACTGGCAGAGAGGTCAGCATCAGCATGCCCCCTTTTTGGCATGGGGCCAGCAGATGGGGGGGAGTAGACTGCTTAAGTCATAATTCTTCCATTCTTGAGGGTAGGGCAAGTGTCCTCAGGGTGACTGGGTGAAGCCAGCATATCACCAGCAATAAAGGCATCTGGATGTCCGCTTACCCTGTAGGGGAGGGAGAAGGAGCTCCCCCCCCCGCCCCCCCGCACGGCTGGCACGGAAAGAATGAACCTTTAGGTAAGGACATTCTTACCCCCGACAATGACGCTTCTACAGTGAGGTGAGTCACCGGGTGCTTCCCTTATTAGAAGGATGACTGTAAGTGTGCGAAGATCCCACCTTCGCTCTTAGCTCCCTGTTGAGGCGGATCCGGGAGACCCCTGCCTGGGCACAGTATGAGGCTGTGTGCCTTTCTGAGAGCGATTCCACGCAGCTTAGGTAACCAAGACCCATAATAGGAGTGTGTCACTCATTCGGTTGGGGACTTCCTCTCTGTGGTTCTGTATTCACGGACATGGGGGAGGGGCTGGGTGCTGCTCGTGGGCTCCGAGCTTTTGGTCTGGTTAGAGACTAATTTACTCGTTCCGTAGGTTGTGGCCTAAAGAACACAGCCTCTCAGGGGGAAAACAAGCTTTCTGGGCTCCTCCCAGCGCCCCAGACCTGGTTGGGGGCAGGGACGGACATGAAGGCCAGGGCGAAGGGGGGGTTAACGGCTCCGTCGGCCAGGGCGGGTGGCTAGGCACTCTCCCTGGCAGCCTGCAGGCCCCCCAAGGCCCCACGTCAGCCCTGTCCGGTCAGGGGGTGCCGGCAGGTGTGAACAAGAGCAAGCTCCAGAGTCTGTGATGTCAGGCTGGCCGGGAAGAGGGCCAGACGGACCGCTTTTTATGGGGCTGACTTGGTGCAGTCAGGCCAAGTGTTCACAGGCTGGGCTGCACATGCACGGAGAACTCGGCAAGCCCTCCAGTTCCATCACTGAGCACCAAGCACACGCTCCTCGTTTGAGAAGGGTGCTTGCGTCTGTGACCAGCTCCAGCCGTGATAACCCAGCACCGCGGCCGGCGATGGCTTAAGGCCCCAGGGGAGACCAGGGACTCAGGGAATCGTTCCGTCACAGAAGAAAGTGAGTCTTGGTCCAAGATAACATTTGCCCAAGAGCCCCTGGAGTTCTGCCAGGACCACACTGACCCATCACGTCAGCCCTTCGGAGGGTATTTTTTAGCGTTAAAGTAGTCCCAGTTGAGGCAGAAAAGTTCATCTCCATAGAATTCACCCTCTTGCTGCTTCCTGACATAAATCCACGTAAAGCTGACTTGCATGGGGCATCCTTACTGCCGGGACAGGCCACCAGGCGTCCGCTGCTGTTGTCCATGACTCCTTCAAGGTCGGCTCTCAGGAGAAGAGGCTTCGGATCCATTTTCAAGAAACTGATAATACTTCATGTCCTTGGGAACCCAGCCAGGCACTCCCTCCTCCCCCAGAGTGCTTATCCCCAGTTCTAGTATTTTATTCCTTGAAGGGATGTAGATCTCCTTCCAGAACAGAGATAAATCCCCTAAGCCATAGAGCCAAAGACCAGAATACTTTACACCTCGATTCTGGTGGCCCTGAGGAATTATGGGGAGAGAGCGGACAGGCTGGTAGAAGTCCTCACATGAATACAGAAAAGTGAAAAATGTGTTGGGGGAGGGTGGTGAGGGAGGAGGGGTCCACATTAATTCCATTCAGTTCCCATTTAGAAGTAATCGCTGTTCATTTTCCAGTGTGCATCCGTATAACGTAATGAGGTCAAAGAAAGGTCTTGTGCGTGTCCTGACCCCGAAGCCCAGTGACACAATTACAGAGTGAGGGGAATTCATTTATCCCACAAATATTTATTGTTGTGTCCAGCTGCGGGTCAAGCATTGCTCTAGGGACTAGGGAGGGCGTGGTGAGCCAATCAGACAGAAAGTTCCTGATGGTTAGGAGCTCACTTAGGAGGCCGGGGCTCTGGCGGCACGTGTCGCCAGGGCCTGGTGGTTTGAACCTCAGCCTCTAACGTGAGATAGCTCAATGTTGGCACTGTCGACATTCCGGGCAGCGTCACTGTCTGCTGCGGGACCTGCCCTGTACGTTGTAGGATATTGAGTGGCATCCCTGGCCTCTACCCACTAAATGCTAATGGCACCTTCACCCCGACCAGTGGCAACCGAAATATCTCCAGACAGGACCAGATGTGCCCTGAGGGGACACACTCATGCTGGTTGAGAGCCTTGGCTTTTTTTTTTTTTTTTATCCTTCTTTAAGATTTATTTATTTTTGAGAGATAGAGCAAGACAGAGCGTGAACAGGGGAGGGGTAGAGACAGAGAGGGAGACACAGAATCCGAAGCAGGCTCCAGGCTCTTTGCTGTCAGAGCAGAGCCTGATGTGGGGCTCGAACCCACGAACTGTGAGACAAGACCTGGGCCGAAGTCAGACTCAGACACTGACTGAGCCACCCAGGCACCCCTGAGAACCACAGCTTTGATGTGATTTCTCACAGAGAAATATGCAAAGTCGTGGGAAATATACGTTCCTGTATACAAAGACGTGAAGGTTGCGCTCTGCATCTCTGAGCTGGGAGTTCATGGTCTCTGTTCAGAGTAGAGAACCCCTCGGTGATGACTGAGGCAGCACAAGGTGGACAGATCTCATTCGGAAAAACAAGCTAAAGGTTCTGTTTAGCCAGGAGAGCGGACAGTCCCCTGGGGCGCCTGGTGGCTGCCTTCAGATGCCTGAAATGCAGCCGGTTGTGTGGAAGCGTGATTCCCCTGCATCTGTACTGTCTGGAGGTGCACGTCTCAGAAGTGGAAGTTACGAAGGCCACGTTCACATCAGTGTCCTGTGGTTAGATGTCGCCGCAAGGCCAAGGTCTAACTGCACATCTCCTTTCAAAGTCTCCCACTCTTTCCTGCATCTGGCAGTGGGCAGTGCAGGGGGAGACGGGGAGGGGTCTCACACGCATCCCCCCACCCCCAGCTCCCAGCTATGCTCTGCTGTGTAACGGATGTGCATACTTCGTGTTGGGGTCTCCGGCCGCTCTGGGAGCCCAGTGTCCCCCCAAAACAGAAAACAGTGCCGTTGGGTTCTGCTGTTGGCCTCTAAGAGGGACCTGAGCCGGGGGTCTGCAGCCCTTTAACCCTTCACAGAGGGGCTTCGGCCAGGAAGGGGTGGGTACTGAGTTTTCCTAGGGGTCACGAGAGGGAATTATAACAGGAAGAAACTTAAAACTAAACGCTGTAAAGGTGCTGCTCCTCCTCCCCCCCCCCCCAACCGGCCCCCGCCCTTGCTCTAGATCGGATCCGGAGGAAGTTCTGTTCTCCCCTCCCTCTGTGTCCGGGCCCACGCGCCCCTAATCCTTCCCTTGGCAGCCTCCTTGCTACTTCCCGCTTCCTGCCCTCAGATCACACCGCCTTTTCCCAGCTACAGTGTCCCCGGCTTCCAGGAAACACCTCCCCTCCCAGCCCTTCCCTCTGCCCCGGGATGCTCTCCCCCTGCACCCCCAGCACAGCGCCTGGGTGCCCACCTGCACCCGTCCTGAGGGGGGCTGTTGGGCCCAAGCAAGCTCGCGGCAGCCTTTCTGCTCCACCGGCCGGGCCCTCCTGCGTCCCCCTCCCCGCGGCCTGCTCTCCACGCCCAGGTTCCTGGAGCGACACCTTGGATGGGGACACAAATAGGCACACTTCCTCTGAGCCACCTTCGGTGCCGTCGGCTGGCCGAAGCCATGTTGAGAAAAAAAGCAACTATTTGCATATGGGCGGCAGAACCAGCAAAGGTGTCCCCCGGCCCACTCTAATGGCAGACTTTTGTGTCACTTCTCATAACCAGAAGGCCCAGTCAAGCGGGGCGTCCTGACTTGGGGCTTGATCTCATGAACTGTGAGATGCCTTGAGCCGAGAACAAGAGCTGGACGCTTAACCTACTGAGCCCCCCAGGCACCCTCTAAGGCCCATGAGATTTTTAGGGACACATGAGATTTTTATTTATTTATTTTTGTATTTAAATGTTTATTTATTTTTGAGAGACAGAGAGAGAGAGAGCATGAGCTTAGGAGGGGCAGAGGGAGAGGAAGACAGATGTTCCAAAGTGGGCCCCACGCTGTCAGCACAGAGCCCCACGCGGGGCTCGAACTCACATACTGTGAGATCATGACCTGAGCCGAAGTCAGACACTCAACCAGCTGAGCCACCCGGTGCCCTGGAACACATGAGCTTTTTAATTTCTTCTCAAATCAGAAGGAGAAGAAAGGAACTTTTCGGTTGAAGAAAATGGTTGATACAGTTGTGAAATATACTTTTTAGTGTATTGATTTAATTTTTTTAATGTTTATTTATTATTGAGAGACAGACAAAGACAGGGGAGGGTCAGAGACAGGAGGAGACACAGAATCCAAAGCAGGCTCCAGGCCCTGAGCTGTCAGCATAGAGCCTAATACGGGGCTTGAACCCACAAACCAGGAGATCATGACCTGAGCCGAAGCCGGACACTTAACTGACTGAGCCACCCAGGTGTCCCAACTCTTTAGTATTTTGTGTGGAAGAAGGGGGCCCGTGAAGACACAAGTACCTGCAGATGCCACAAAAGCCAGAGTTTGGCCCTGCGCAAAGTATCACCAGCCACAGAGACTTGAAAATGTAGATTTTTGGGTTTTTGTTTTTTTGTTTTTTGTCTCTTTCTTGAAGGCTTCAAAGACTGTCAGACCAGTTTCTGAGGTAGGGTTTGAGGTTTGGAGCCGCTGGGGTCCCTTGGGTGGCCCCCATAGGACTGATGTTTTCTCAAAGCTCAAGCTGAGGCTGTGGACCCAGCCCCAGGACAGTATGGGGACGCGTGTGCCCTCCCCTGGGCCTGACCTTGGGGGCGGGAAGGACTTTGTGACAGCCTGAGCTTGGCGGTGATGCTGGATCGGCCAGTCATCTGAGATGCTGAAGATTCCCTCGTGGGCCAACGGTTTTCTCTGTGCTCTGGGCGGACAAGGGACCCTCTGAGGATCCTGACGAATGAACCCTGAGACGCTGGGGTTCCACGAACATTAGACTTTAGCGCTTTATTTCATTAGCCTCAGGACACAGGGGAGAAAGCACAAGACAGAAAGAGAACGTAAGTCATACATTCCAGTCCGACACAGATCCTGTGTTCCCTGTTCTCTGATGTGACCCCTCTGTGATGCCAGGCTCCCTTAGGGGTGCAGTTTGGAGAAAACTCCAACAAACGGCCCCAGCCGCCGCTGTCTTTTCGGACTGCGCCTCTGTCCTCTGCACCGGCTGCTTTGGAGCAGGATCCTTGGACTCCGGACAGGCTTCTGGACTGTGCTGTACTCTGTTCGTGCTTACTCTGCACTCCTTGGCTTTGCCTGTGTGTGATGCCAGCCTCGGGACACGGATCTCGAGAGATAAGCCAACAGCTCTGCGAACCGTGACAGCAGGAGGCGAAACCAGAAACGACCCATGCCACTGTCCAGGGGGAGAGTCTTGTCCGGGGTCCTAGGCAGAGTCCCAAGGCGAGCCCCTTCTGCAGCCCCTTCTTGGTGGGTGGAGAGCACGTCCCCGGACCTCAGAGTGGTGGCCGTGGGAGGGGTGGCCCCTGAGGCCTCCCTAAAGGCATGCCTGAAGTTTGGCGCTGTGCCCAGCCCCCCGCACCCCAGGGCTTCTCTCCTGGGGGGGATGCTCCTCACCTTGGCCTGCCCGTCTGACCGCATCACCCTGCTGACTCAGTTGGCCCGGCCTGAGGATAAACAGCTTTGTTGAAAAGACGATCTGTTTGTTTATGCTGGAGAGTTTTTTCCTGATGGGCCCACACCAGGCTGGTGGGCGACATGCCCCGTAATAGAGTCAAATTGTGCCATGTGACTTACAACCCACATTAACAAAGTCCGCAAGGATGGTAACAGTGGCTGCCTTTGGGTGATGGACGATGTGTGCATTGTTCTCTCTTTTATATTTCTGGGTGTTCTATTCCCCCCCCCATAAACATTTACTATTTTGTACTGGGAAAGAAATCACTGAAATAAAGGGGGTGGAATGTTTCACATACCATGGCATATTAATTAAAAATAATTTTTTTAATGTTTATTTTTGAGAAAGAGAGTCTGAGCAGGAAAGGGGCAGAGAGAGGGAGACACAGAATCCGAAACAGCCCCAGGCTCTGAGCTGTCAGTATAGAGCCTGACGCGGGGCTCAAACCTATAAACCGTGAGATCATGACCAGAGCCAGAGTTGAAGCCACCCATGCGCCCCACCATGGCATTTTACATTTTTTTTAATGTTCATTTACTTTTTAGAGACAGAAAGACAGAGTACAAGCAGCGGAGGGACAGAGAGACAGAGAGAGAGGGAGACACAGAATCCAAAGTGGGTTCCAGGCTCTGAGCTGTCAGCACAGAGCCCGACGCAGGACTCGAACCCACAAGCCATGAGAACATGACCTGAACCAAAGTCAGATGCTTAACCAACTGAGCCACCCGGGGGCCCCACTGTGGCATTTTAAACCAAGACTAAATATTTGTGACACAGAGACTCAGGGCAGGAGTAATGAAGTGAACGTTCTCTGGAGATGTCTGACATACACCTTTCCTTCTCAGCTAGTGGCTATGGCCTAGCTGGTGACAGGCAGACCCTCTTCGTTCTTAGATCCATAGGGATGCCCTTGTGAATGACAACACAAACATCATCTTTCTCTACATGTCTCATCTGTGTGTTTCATCCACACGATACCCTGTGAGGTGGGCATTAGTATTGTCATGCCCATTTGAGAGAATAGAAATGGAGGCCTTGAGAAGACACACAGATATAACTCTGGGGCTTGAGACATGATAGCACTTGGCCACCAGCCTGGGTACTAAGCCACAGTGCCAGTCTGCCTCTTATAAGAGCAGAAATCCAGGTGGGGCCTGAAGGGAAGACTGGCGGGCAGAGGAGGCGGGCTGTATGGGAAGATGTGGGTCCGTGCTCAGTCTGGACTGGTTTGGGTGGGCCTCGGCCACAGCTCGGGCCAGGGAGAGAGTCTGGGAGCAGCGGGGGCCGACGCTGTCTTGTTCTTCCCGCAGCGTGCTGGACATCTTCCCCACTGTGGTAGCCCTGGCCGGGGCCAGCCTTCCCCGAGACCGGCACTTGGACGGTGTGGATGCCTCTGCTGTGCTCTTTGGCAGGTCTCAGACGGGGCACCGGGTAAGTCGCGGACGTGTGCGCCCCCCTCAGGCTCTGCAGGGGCTTCGCTGCTGCTTCTCATCGGGGCCACCTTTGTGCAAAGAGAATCCGTCCTCGGAACGCGCAGGCCAGAGGGCCCCCCCGCCCCCCCTCCCCGATCTAGTTGAAGAAGCCCTGACAGATTAAGCCTCTGAGACAAGGCTCTCCTTCCTCTCCTCTCGCCTCTTCCCCTGGGATCCATCCAGCTTGTCAGTCCAGGCTTGCATTTAACAATCTGGCTTAGAGTGGGTGTGTAGGGGTGCTTCCTCCCCGTAACATATGATTTTTTTCCACAGTGATTTCACTGTGTGACACATCCTAGGCCCCTGGCGCGTTTTTGTTGGACGAGGCGGCTGACGAGCGGGAGTGACGGGGGTATTGTGGGGATCCCAGACTAGAATGGCACTTCCTGAAGGCAGGGATCCCCCAGAATTCTCAGTGCACCTAACTGGGCCGGCACCCAGCCAGCATGCAATAAATGTGCATTTGACGAATAAGTGAAGGAACATTCCCCTCAGCTCCTGGAAGGCCCGGCCTGTGGCCCTAGAGCCCTCCCTCCAGCTTGGGGCTTCTGCTTCCCAGCACCCCAGGGTCCCCTCTTCGTGTGCACTGAGGCATTCTTGTCGGCAGTGACAGCCAGGAAGTGCCGGCCCCGACGGCCTTTCCATGTCATTTCCTGGTGTTTTCCTTTCACCAAAAGGAAGAGGAAGTGGGAGGAGAGAAGGCCAAGCATCTCTGTGAGGCCCGGTGAGCACACAGCTTCTCAGTTAGGGACCCACACATCAAAGGGTCTATTTGTGTCTTCACCCAAGGGTCACATGGAAGTGACTCAAACACTGCTCAGATGTGCCGCCGCGGTTTGTGATGTGGCCCCTGCCGCTCAGCCCCGAGGGGGCCGTCAGTGCTTCTGTGAGGGGTCCTGCAAGTTTCTAGGGGTTGCCACACAGTGCCTGAAATGCCCTCCGGGACACCCGACCTTCCAGAGCCGCACACACTTCCAGGCTGAGCCCCAGCGCTGGTTAGCTGCGGAAGAGCAGGAAGATGGCTTCCGCCTCCTGGCTGGGGGTTTGCAGTGTGTGACCCTGACGAAGACGTCAGCAGAGAGGTGCTCCTGAGTGTTTATTGCCCCGGCTACTGATAGAAGAATTGGGGTCACCAGGAAGTGCCTCAAGGACTCTGGGCTCCTTGACGTGGCCGCTCTGCCTGTAGAAGCCAGAGCCTCCACGCTCACTTCCGCTCTCAGAGGAGAGTCTCCTCTCTCTAGCTGCAGCCTTTCTGCAGAGTCATTGAGGCCCGTGCTCGGAGCCTAACAGTCATTGGTCTTGTGCCCGACAGGGTTGGGCCCCAGAACAGACGGGAGGAGCAGAGGCCGGCCCTCAACACTGGTTGGGGTTTTCGGGGGGACGGGTGATGTGTGGTAACGCAGCTGGAGTGGGGGCTGGCTTGCTCCCTGACCACAGCTCAGGGGCCCAGAAAGAAACAGCCACCACTTACTGTCTGCAGGAAGCCGCTGATAGTATCTTCAAGAGCAAAGGCCCTGGGGTGCTGGCACATGTAGGCAACACCCAGCCTCCTAGAGCCTGGATTCCCTGTGTGAAGATGCTGGAGATAAGATGATTTGGAGTTTGAGGGAAACACAGGTGCTTGTTGGCCTTGAATCTGGTCTTTTCTGGTCACCTGCTGAAAAGATTAGAGTAAATTGTCTTGAATTTGCCGAACGGAGGGGAGGCGGGGAGGCGGAGCGAGTGGTGATACATACATACATACTCGTACGGACGTGTATACGCACACCTACGCATCCCTGTGTGTGATTTTTAATAAACACAGTTTAGTTGTGTTCACGCTTAGGCGTGTCCCGGGCGTACAAGGATCCTAACCGTGACTTGGTTTAGAAAACCATTCCAGTTTCAAGAAGCTCAGAGTAACTCCTGAAATGATCATCTCAAGACAATATGCAAATACCGCTTAGCAATCCGGTTCTTCTCTATTTTGCAAGTGAAGTAACCACCGGTGAGGAGCTAAAGCCACCTGAGGCAGCCTGGCAACCTCCCCAGGCCGGGTCGCGGACAGTTTCAAAGGCAAATAATGGGGTTGCAGTTTTCCTGCTGAGGAGTCTTCTGACCACCCACTTCGAGGACGGGAGGAACGTCGGGTGGTGTTGAAAATGTGCAACAGAGGCCGCCAGGCTGTCCGGTCTTGCGTCTGCTGAGCCTTCTGCTTCTCATCTTGATGGGTCGGTGCCTGGGCACCTAGGACAACCACAAGAAGGGGAAGGGTATCCAGGCAGAGCAGGCGCCTCGAAGATCCTGCTCCGAGCTAGCCTGATTCCCCTGTGGAAGCAGGAGTCTGTCACGTTACCACCGGTCAAGTCATACCTCCACCCGGGGCCGCCACCACCACGTCCAAAAATTGTCAGCAAAGAGGAAGGCGGCTTTCATGGCTCTTCACCTGCCAGTCCCAACCGGTCTGGGGCTGCCGTGAGCCATAAAATGGGTGGGACCTCCCTGGAGGCCACACACCCGTGGAGACCCGGAGCTGGGTTTCGGGCTCTGGAGCTCTGATCACTTCTCTTAGGGAGGCCCCTAGTGGTGAAAGGCGCCATCCGGAGGGGCTGCCTACGTTTGGAGATGGGCTTTGCAGCCCCACCTGATGGGGTTGGGGAGCCCTCCTGAGGGCGGGGCGGGGTGGCGGGGGTTGGGGGGGAGGTGGGGGGGCGGCGGTTGCCACAGAAGCACCAGAGCCTCGGGAGCCTAAGAGAGACACTCACCTGCTCCAAACAACAAAACAGAACGAAACAAAGCAAACAGTAGAAAGGCAACCGGGAAGGTGCGACATGTCTGCAGAAGATAGAAGTCGTCTTTGAAGTCAGGACCCACGCTGGAGGGGACCAGTCTTGGGCTGTGACTCATGTGTCCGTCTGCCAACCTTCTTCCTCTGTGGGTATGAACAACGCCGTGGTCAGTCGGCACAACAAAGCCCACGCCTCCTGTTTCTGAGAGGGGGCCATCCGGCAGTTTTTCCTCTTCTTCCTCTTGGATTTCGGAAGTTGCCTTTGGTAACGCCGCACACTATCCTGGACGTGGCGGTCCACCCTCGTTGGGGTATCTGTCACTGAGACCCAAATACTCTCAGTGAGTTGAACCGTGACTGCCATCTTCCCGATGTCTGAGGACCTCTTAGATGGGCTGACAGTAGGTTTTCCGAGCCCCCCCCTTCTCCCCCTCCTCTAGAAGGAAACCCATCGGCCTCCCGCAGAGAGAGGCTTGGCTTCCTGCAGGGCAGAGGAGTGGGTTTTGAGTTACGACTTCTTTTCCTGTTTGGAAGGAGCCTGCTGTCATCATGCTGGCTGGGGACCTTACAGAGGCTGTCACGAGAGAGCCCGGCACGGAAGCTGCAGGTGCGGGAGGGGCCCCGCCCTCGGCGGCATCCTCTGAGAGTCCGGAAAGGGGGGACAGCTGTTTACTGCTCCAGCAGATGTTTCTTTCTCTCTTTTTTTAATAGCCCCATGGAAACTTTGAATCACGTAAGCGCCTCTGCAGTGATATATATTGGTCATGATTCATACCAGGGCAGTCTCACGCATCCAGCCCAGACCCACCAACCCACCAAGGACACTGGTTATTTATTTTCTACCGAATCCCGCCCTTGGCACGCCTGAATTCGGTGTTTCCGTCGGCAGGGCGATTCTTTCATCGGTGGCCCCATGACGGGGATTTCCTCAGTCCCAGGAGGGTCGGATTGAGCCAGGGGTGGGAACATCTGTGCTCGGAGGTTAGGCTGTGCCCGGTTCTGGAGAACTCACGCGAGCTGTCGTCCCAAGGACATGCCATCCTTGCTTGAGGGAAAGTTAGAACATTAATTGGATGCCCCCACGAAGCCGTGCTTCCAAAGGGCACCTGCGTCAGAATCCCTGGGACCATAAGCCTTGCAGACTCCCAGGCCCTAACTTGAACCTGAGGGGCTGGACGCAGCCACCTGGGGCCCCGCCCCTGGGACGGTCCTGCACCTGGTTTAAAGAGCACTCGCTGTGCTGCCTTGAAATTGTTCACTTTTGAACGAAGTTTCTCTCTCTTTCATTTTGCACTGGACGCTCAGAATTCTGCAGCTGGTATCGGGGGCCAAGGAGTCTGCCTGGAGCTGCAGCCACTTCGATTGATTAACTTGCCCAAAACCTATTTCCTGGGGGCCCCGAGGGTTGGCCAGTGTGGATGACAGGCCTGTCAGTGTTTGGAGCCAGGGTGGGCATGGAGGGCCGGCCACCAGGACCGAGAAAGGACCGCTTTCCAGGGAGCATCAGGGGCCTGGTGGACCGGATAGGAAGCTCTCTCTGCTGTTCTCTCTCAGGTGCTGTTTCACCCCAACAGCGGGGCAGCCGGGGAATATGGAGCCCTTCAGACTGTCCGCCTGGGACCACACAAGGCCTTCTACATCACCGGTGAGTCAGGGGGCGCCCCCGCCCCCCACCGCCGTCCCGGGATCCACCCTCAGGCCTCCGGGAATGAGTGTGAGCTGCCCTCCCTCAGGGAGCCCCCAGCACCCAAGCTCCCCCCACCCCCTCCCCAGCCAGGCCCTCTGCACCCACAAATGCTAAAACAAGGTCTTTCTACTCTTTGCCTGAATTTCTAGCAAGCTCGGAGCACGTCCGCGCACTCACACAAAGGACTCTCACTCCATTGTGACGCTTTAAATACTGGTTTGGCTGAATGGTAAATGGAGGCTTAGAGATACTTTAAGGTGTAATTTACTAGACAATAGACTGTTTCAGAAAATAGACTCTAGAGGTCGGGTTAGCAGACCGACAGAAGTCTCTCTGCTTCTCGATTCACTCGGTGACCGCCGTAAATGTATATCCCAGAAATGTGATGTTGGGTCAGGATGGTTCTCAAAATCTTCCCAATGGCTTCTGGGTGCCAACAGAATCCAGACTCCTTCCATCCCGGGGCGCTCGGCTTTTCCGGTGTCGGCTCTCCAAGAGCGACCGCCTTCTTCCTTGGCCTCCTATCAAAATCTCTCTCAGCTTTGAGGGCCTCACGTCAAATCCTAGTACCTCGGTCATAAAACTCCCTCTCCTCTTCCCAGCTGAGTCGGATGTGGAGAAACTCAGATAATGATCACGTTCTGCCGTATATTGTCAGCCATTTGGGTATATGTTTTATTTCCCCTACTAGTTTTTTTATTTTTTATTTTTTAAAATGTGTATTAAGTTTTGAGAGACAGAGAGAGATGGAGCACAAGTGGGAGAGAGGCAAAGAGAGAGGGAGACACAGAATCCGAAGCAGGCTCCGGGCTCTGAGTGGTCAGCACAGAGCCCGCATTACCTGAGCTGAGGTCGGACGCTTAATGGACTGAGCCACCCAGGCCCCCCTCCCTTACTAGTTTTGAGCTCTCTGAACCCAGAGCTTTGTAAGATCTTTCATTTTTGTTGTCTTTTAGTGCTGAGCGCAATATCTTGTGCCCCGTCGGAACCCTAAAATTTTCCTTTGAGTGAATGAAAACTGAACAAACAAAAAGATAAACAAACCAAAACCAGACCCGGGACCTGGTATGGATCCCCGTTTGAGTCAGTTATTTAATGTGAGAGTGTTCTAAAGCATTGTATAATAAAGAACAGACAGTATTTTCCCTGAGTGTGAATGCATGATCCTGAAGGAAAAAATGGGCCATAAAAACACAACAAGTTCTTTGAGTTCAGAACGTGAGGGATATTAAACATGCCACAAGAATCCTTGATTCTCCAAAACCCAAAATGCAAACCAGTCGGATATTTGTTATGCTTTCAGATGGAAAGTTTCTAGATTACAGTCCTTACATTACATTATCTCAGAGGTATGGCTTCTCCAGGCTGAGTTAATTTCAGAAGTCAAGGCTGTGCCAAAAAGGCCCTTGGCACCACAGCACTGGAATCCTAAATGTTACTATGAAGTAATCGGACCGTTTAAAATGATCACAATCAGAATTAGGATACCCAGGGCAGCTCTCTTCTTCCGAGGAGTCACCAGGGTCCCAGCAGAGTTAGCATGAGGTTGAGGACAGACATCGATATGCAGCAGCTGGGGGCCAGGGGTGGGGAGAGTGACATGTTCTGATCCTCCCCACCCCCTTCCCTTCCTCTTTGGAAAGTCTGCATCCTAGTTACTTAAAACTGCTTTAGGATAAACTAGGTGCATTGACCTCTTCTACATCAGATTAGAGAAAGATGTGGGGGAAGTTTCTTCACAGATGTTGAGCCTTCCTCTCTCTGGCTCCCTCCTTCCTGGGAACGTCACCCATCGGTTTTCTTCCGTTGTGGGAGTCCCGAGCTCTGATACTCTGATGGTTGCCTGACACCCTAAGCCAAAGAGATGATAGTCTTCGCCTTAGGCTCGAGCTGCGGCTTGTTGCACAGACTGACAGGTGTCTCCAGGTGAATGGAACTCTTGAACACGGACCCAACCCATGGTGACCTCTGTGTTTCAAGGATCAAATGCTTTTCAGTGTCTGCCTGCCTTGGTAATTTTCTAGTGCCTTTACTTTTTTTTTTCTCTTAAATATGTTGCCTAGAATTTATAACTGTTGCCCACAGGAGGGCTGGTTCTATGCAAGCCATTCCATTATTCTCTGAAGGGGAAGTGCTTCACTTTTATAAGAGGAGTCCATCCAAACCCTTGCTCGACTGGTTGCAAACATCACGTCCCCTGCCCTTGACTGGCAGTGAAGAAGAACCAGATTGGACTCCCAGATTCTAGGCAAAGACAGTGACTCTGAACTTTCTGCAGAACGACCTGAATGTCAAACCACGAGAAGAGAACTGTTAACGAAGGCTGCCTGAAGGCTGTGTGACTTGCCCATTCTTTTCTCCCTGAAAGAGGAGGCACCGGAGAAGTTTCTTTCTCACCTCACTGCGAGAAAGAGCTTGACTTCCCCTGAGTAACTGAGAAGTTTCTACCTTATTCTTTGGCTGCTAAGAAGCTCAGGGGCAAAGTAGGCATTCAAGAATTCCTGTATTTCTTAAAAAAAATTTTTTTTTTACTGTTTATTTAATTTTGAGAGAGAGAGAGAGAAAGAAACAGAGCATGAGCAGGGGAGGGGCAGAGAGAGAGAGGGAGACACAGAATCCAAAGTAGGCTCCAGGCTCTAAGCTGTCAGCACGGAGCCTGACGCGGGGCTCGAACCCACAAACCGTGAGATCATGACCTGAGCCGAAGTCAGATGCTCAACCGACTGAGCCACCCAGGTGCCCCAGGAGTTCCTGTATTTCTGATGGCCGTTCTTTGCCTTGGTTCCTTTTGTTGATTCACTTGCATTGCATTAATTTCTGTCAGATACCTTAACTAACTCTTTGTAAGGAAAAGGAAAGAAGTCACCTGAGTCGCTAGCAGCTAAGGATGCCACTCTCCAGTTTTGCTCCTGTTCTTCTGAGGTGGCCTCGGTAGCCAGATTCTAAGTTCTTTCTTTTAATTTGTTTTTAACACTTCTTTATTATTGAGAAACAGATAGCGACAGAGCATGAGCAGGGGAGTGCAGAGATAGAGGGAGACACAGCATCTGAAGCAGGCTCCAGGCTCCGAGATGTCAGCACAGAGCCCGACGTGGGGCTCGAACCCACAAAGTGCGAGATCATGACATAAGATGAAGTCAGAGGCTTAACCGACTAAGCCACCCAGGCGCCCCCAGATTCTAATTTCAACAACAACCCGAAGTGACATTACTCGCCTTGCCTTCCCGCCCAGTCCACCAACTTGTGTCTTTCGTATTCCAGAAATGAATTTTCAGGGCAAAAAATTGAATTTACTCCCCAAGGGTGGAGATGGGAGATAACTCGACCGGCCGCTGTGCAGGCTCTGAGGGCGGGTCTCAGGGGGAGAAGTTCTAAATCATTCTGGACCATAGGAATGTCCGTCCCTGGGATGAGCGGCTGGAATCCCATGGTCACAGGGCCAAAGTTAGGTCTGATGGGGTGTTTGTCGTCCCCCCTCTAGGCGGAGCCAAAGCCTGTGACGGCAAGGTGGGGCCCACGCGGCGTCACGAGCCCCCCCTTATTTTCAACCTCGAAGACGATGCCGCAGAAGCGGAGCCTCTAGAACGAGGCAGTGCCGAGTACCAGCGCGTGTTGCCTGAGGTCAGAGAGGCTCTGGCGGGCATTCTTCTGGACGTTGCTGGTGACAAGACCTCCAGGGCGGATTACACTCGGGACCCTTCGGTGACTCCCTGCTGCGATCCCCACCAGAAGGCCTGCCGCTGCCCAGCCACCTGACAGACCCGCGTTCCCACGAGCAGAGGCTTGAGGAAAGTGACGGGGGCAGGCTCACACCCCCCAAGCCTTCACCCTCTTTACACTTAAGCTTTAAGTTTAAGGCTCAGAATTTTGTTTCAAAGCCATGGTTTTGCACCTCCCACAGTCCTTTCTGCATGGGCGGGGTAGGGGGCAGGGACAGCTGTGCTGAGCTGAAGTGGAAAGCACTTGGGGCTTTGGAGTTAGGTCAGGTTCAAGTCCCAGCTTCTAACCCGGCTTGTTCTGAGGACCGAAAGAGGAATATATGCAAATACCTGCCACGTCACGTGACACAGAAGAGGCACTGAATGCATTTTAGTTTCCTTTCTTATGTACCCAGTTTTGCTGGTCACTTTAGCATGAATTCATCCCAGCTGAGATCTAGGGCAGCCCTTCTCCATCTGTAATATGCATACGTGTTACCTGGGACTCCGTGGAGGTGCAGATTCTGACTCAGTAGTTGCCAGAGATGCTCCATTTCCGGGCTCCATTTCCTGCGGGGGAAAATGCCCTGAGTAGCAAAAGTGCAGACTAGACAAAGTTAGACGTTTCCAGGTCTCTGAGCAGGAGAGCCCGCGGATTAAATACGTAGCGCTACCTGCCTCCCCTTGCCCCCTCTTAGAGATCAAGTAATTGTATTTTGAAGATTGTAAGCATTCCTTCTGCTTCCTAAAAACCGGGTAGAAATAAACATTTAAAACCTCAAAAATGCATTGCCATGATTTTATTATAAGGTCCAAAATGGGACTCCAAGGTAATAAAGGATTTATTCCCATCACTGCAAAAATACTTTGCCTGGCTAAAAACAGTCTCTCTCTATGTCATATACAAGAAATACAATTCAAAGAGCTTTTCCTATACGTACATTTTTTTTACATGGCATACATTTAAAAAGGATGCCCTTTTTCATATAAAGTTCCGGTTATAGACCAACGTGGTTAGTGAGCATTGCCGCTAGGGCTGTAACATGTTTCAGAGCGCAGGATGTGTATACAGTCTCTCCCGTCCCCACTGGAAACCGGGGCGGAGGAGTTTGGTGAGCAGCGGACCGAGTCCTGTGGATTCCTGCCCCCCTTTTCTGCGCACACAATCGTACTCCATTCTTCCACCTTCCTCGTTCTCTCCACAACCACCTGACAGGGGGGTGTCCTGATTTCTGAGTTGCGCTTCTCATCATGACTGCTTCGTTTTGCCCTTCTGACTTCCACGGCACAAGATTATCTACCAAAATCAAAACAGAATGGCCTTAACTCTTTCCAGGAAGAGGCTGTTAGGCGGGCTGCGTTATCGACAGGTCTGTGCCTGTGTGGGGTCAGCATGGGGAGGCTGGGCGCCGCGGAGTCCACGCACTGACCCTCACTCATGGCCACAGAAAATCCACCCATCTTATTTAGGTATAGACGAGTATGGCACGGTCTCAAAAAAATACTAACGGTATGTAGAATATGTGTGTATGTTTATGTGTATATTGCATGTTTTTTTTTTAAAGGCTCATCTTACTTGTAAACACAGACTGCTACGTCACTATTAAAGTCAGTAAATACCCTTGGTCCCAATTCGTTTACTCTTGCTCACCAGAGCAAGACTAGTGTCAGAAAATATGCGGACTTGTAAAGGCCAGCATGTTGTGGAGACAAAAGCTGCTTATCTTCCTGAATATGGCGTCTAAGGTACCAGAAGTGAGCAATTCTCTTTCCTTTCATTGTTTATGGAGCCAAGTAAATCCCAGGGAGATAAGAGTGATCATGTCCAGGGAAGCGTGAGTATACTTAGGGGGAAAAAAAAAAAAAAAGACCCACTCACAATGACCTGTGGTTCTGTAGGCCCAGGGAGCGCCTCATGGGATTATCCAGGCAAGGCCATATTTTTAACTGAGAGAGAAAAGTGGTTTTAACCAAATGGAGGCTCCAAGATCCTTCCACAGCTCCGGAATGTCTCAAGGGATGTGGGCGGAGATGTGAATTCTGGACAAATACCTGTACCAGGCAAGCTGATGACAGAGTAAAGGCGAGGGGGGTGAGGAGTCATCCAGGATCGTCTCTCCAGTTGGGAATCGTTGCCCATAAGGGCGTGAGTGAGATGGGCCATGTGAAGAGGGCTTCCCAGTGGCACCCACGCCCTTGGTCCTGGGGCGGTGGGGTGGAGAAGGCTGTCGGCTAGGACGTCGGGAGCTCACAGAAGCATGGCCCTCTCCTCGCCGTCCGCCTCTAGGCTGGAGGGCAGGGCTGGGGTCTGCGGGGCTTCTAGAACCCCCACCCACCAGCTCTAGGGCCTCACAGGGGCCTCCCTCAGTGATCAGCACTGCTGGCGGGAAGCCTTCCTTGTGTGTAAATAAAAATCCCGGATGCAATTTAAACCAAGTTTCACTCATTTAAGAGGAAGACAAGACAGCGGCTCATACCAGCTTCCGGGTTAGCGTCTAGGTGAACAGGCCTCTTGATAAGTTCTAGCATTAGTTTTTAAGCATCTCCATTTTTTTTTTTTTAAAGCTCCAAGCAAATGATCTGCACGGTGTACCTATTATTTTACGCAGGCTTTCTTTGGCAGGGGACCATCCCCTCCACGCCAAAGTCTTTAGTACCCCAATTCTGTAAGTACGAGGATTACTAATTAATGATCTAATAATCTTTCGTAGCCGTCACAGACTTTCAGCAAAACCACTGACCTAGAACATAATGAGTGAATGCTCCCAACATGGACGTGGGGGGTGGGGAGGGAGGAGTGGGGACACATTTATCCCCATGGCATCTGATCCATTCTGGTTCCTAGAGGACACAGCTGCGGGGAAAAGACCACCTGCTCTTGGTGGGGATGGAAGAACCCCCGTTATGGCTAGTCTAGGCAGGAGAACCCGAAGGCAAAACCACTGTTTATCAGGAAGCAGCAAGCCAGCAGTTGTTTCTATGCTGAGAACTGGTATTTTTAAGAACCGCCGCTCCCCGCGCTTAAAATATAAACTACTTGTTGGCACTGTATTTGGCAATGTGCCGATTAAAGCCCAGAATGTAAACTTCAAGCTGCAATCTATAGCGCCTTTATGGGAAATCGCAAAGCCAGCCCTCTAATCACGCAAAGAGGGACCCAAAACAGGCTTTTTTTTTTTTTAAGCAGACTGGGCTCTCCAGATTGTCCTGGAATTTGTACAAGAAAGAAGCCAGACTTGCATTTCATCCTTTTGCAAATGCAATTTCCACGGACGTAAAAAGACCTGGAGAAAACATTCTATTCCGAGACCTAACGGGCTCTGAGCTGAAGCCCATGTGGCTACTGCTCTCTGGCTCTGCTGGGGGTCACTCAGTTGACTAAAGGTCATGACCCACACATGGCTTCTGCTGCTAAGTGAGTTCGGGTTCAGCCTCCATGCCATTCTCTAGCTGATGCTCACAAGAGCGCTGTGTGCACTGCTCTCAATGAAAGTCTGAGCATTGGAAGTTAAGGAGACCCTGGGGGCCCTGGAGGGGGGGGGTCCTTGCTCTAGTAAAGGATGCTGGGAGAAGCCAAGTTTTGCACCCAGCCAGCACCAAGGGCTCTTGCTACAAGAACAGCTGAAGCAGGGCACAGGGAACCGCGAGGGAGCTCTCCCCCGGAGCTTCACCGCTCCACACGGCTGCTGGGGGCCTGGGGTCAGCTCCCATGAGCCGGAGGAGGGTGAGGGTCTGGCTCGCCTGTAGATCATCGTCCGGAGACGATGCTGCAGGAACGTCCTTAAGTGCCTCAGGAAGTTTATGCGTGAGTCCCTGCCTTGCGAGCAGCAGAGCTAGTGCTAAGAAAGCCAAGGTGATTCCAGGCCCCGGGGTGCAGAGGGGCCTATGAGACCCCCTGGGTTAGTATCCGGTTATTTTAAGGCTGCCGTGTTTAAGCCTGACACCCGAGGGCTGGTCTACGGGGCCTGAAGCACACAGCGCGGACACCGTCTATGGCTTTCTGAGCAGTAGGGAGGAGGTTAGCGGTTACAGGACTGGACCACGGGGAACGTGACTTCGCCTCCTGCGCGAGGTGAAGGCTTCCCTCGAAGCCCTCACAGACTGAGCCGCTCTCTTAGGGATTCCTAATGCTCACAGGGGGGAATTCATTCTCGTCATCAAGACACACTGGTCCCGTCGCAAACTCGTGTTCAGGAATAAGCTCTCCTCGGAGGGCCCCGCCGTCCTCAGAATAGCCTGGAAACCAAGAATGAGACATGAGGGAGGCCCCACGGTCTGTCCTAACGCTCTGACCCCAGGCGGCCTCCAGGGAAACCACGGGGGCCACCTTTGCCTTCTGCACGGAGAGACTGTGCTTCAGGTGGGTCACAATCCCCATCCTTTAGGGTCCCGAAGCCTCTGGATGCGCTGACCTCGCCCACCCCTCCACCCCAGGCGCCTCCAACCTTCCACTCAGTTGCAATTCTCAGAGTTGAAGCCTTGATGTTACGCGTTAGGGAGATGACCATTTGGGGCTGTGCCTGCCAGGCTTAGGGGCCTGAGGTTAAAGGCTATTCTTGTGGCCATGCCTGGGAGGAAGGAAGGGGTTCGGGGACAGCGCTCCGTTCACAGGTGACCATGAACACAGAAGAGCTGCGGGCAGAAATGGCCCCCGGGGCGCCCCAGCCGGGCCCCCACATCCACTCACCGGGAACAGTGGAGGCAGAAGATGTACTTGGTCTGGCTACCGTTGCTGCGTAAGACTGAGGTAATGGAGGTCTGAGGTCATTTTCTTTATTTTCTTCGGTTGTTCCTGAGCTAAGCAAACTAATGGCAGCAATCAAGGGGAGGGGGAGAAAGAAAAAAAAGAGATCATCACATATGCGGGATACTTCCAGAAGGAAAAGCATGAGGAAGCTCAGGCTTGCCCACGTGAGTTTCAAGTATGGACCTACTGGGGGCCCCTGGGTGGCTCCGGCGGTTGAGTGTCTGACTCTTGGTTTCGCACGCTCATGGTTTATGGGTCTGAGCCCCGCGTCGGGCTCTGCGCTGACAGTGCAGAGCTGGCTTGGGATTCTCTCTCTCTCTCTCTCCCCCCTCCCTGGCTCGCGTGCTCACTCTCTCTCAAAATAAACTCTAAAAAACAAATGGACTGATGAGTACACTGCTGGGTCACATGACCTAAAAAGGGCCCTTGAACTGCTGGGGTCAATTACGCAACCTCACAACGACCCCTTTCTCTTATGCTCACTGGCGCTCTGCTCTTCCTGGCTCAATCTGGCCAGGACGCTGAGACTCGCCCCCAAAAGGGGGGCTCCATGGGCCAGGGAAAGGGGTCGTGGTGGTGTCCTGTCACAGCAGGAAGAGGCTGCCTTGTCAAGAGGTCACAGATGTCAAGAGAACTTTTCAGTTCACTTTGGTCTGCGTTTCGGAGCTCCCAGTATATAGGAGGAAACGTACAAGGGGGAAAGACCGCGGAAGAGACTCGCTTCTTCAAGTGCACGGTACACATCCCCGCGCTTTTCCAGAAGCCTACAGCGTGGCGAGGGCGCCCGGCGCGGAGCCCAGTGAAGAGCGGTTGTCCGCTGGAGGGGTGCCCCGGAGAACCCCGAAGAAGAGGGGCAAGCAGGCTACTGAAGCGTGTCGTTCTGGGCCACGTGATGGCTCCACACCACCAGCTCTTAAAGAGGCTTTTTGAAAACCAGTCTCTTCACCTGTGGGTCTTGATTAAGACACAGTCTCCTCCGTCCTGAGGGTCCAGATTGTAGATGTAAAGGTGTCCGTCGGAAGACGCGACCAG